AATTTTTCGTGGTTTTTATTCAATTTTTATCGATATCGATAATATCCCGATATTTCCATCGAAATTTCCGTGTTTTTAGACTACCGATATTTCCGATATCATCGATATTTTATACCTTGGATGCAAGTACGGTTTGTATATGTTTTATTTTGCGTTTATGTAACTAAACAATTCAAATTTATAAGGAACAAGGCCAACAAGACAAAACATAAATAAGGAGCCAAAAGGCAAACCCACAGTATATATGGAAAACATTAAAAATAAGATGCACACTTCTTTATCCTTTCCTCATTCTCTTTATTCAGCTTAAGCTGCTTGACAGCTTCCGAGAACCCAACTAGTCATTGGGTTGGGTGAGACATGTGGGATTGGCTTGGGACTTGGGAACGAATCAAAACATAGTAACTGCATGTGCTTCTGTGGTCAAACCAAACACTGATAATAATTAAACGGAGTAGTGTTACATTTATCATCTAGGTATATCATTATTTGTATCATTTATCTAATAGAGATGGAACTTATCATCTCTCTAATAGAGATAGGGTTCGTCAACGGATGTGAGTCTCATCTTTATTAGAAAGATGATATAAATAATGATACAACAAGATAATAAGAATATCATTTTTGAATCAAAATGTTACCCACATTAGATTTCTTCATTAAGACTTGTTTGGGATCATCATTTGGAACAGGCTTGGCAAATTTTTAGGTAGGGAATTTTCAAAACAAGTTACAGTCCTAATCTTGTTCAGGGGACTTATGTACGACAAAGACTTCATATGGCGGGTCCAAAACCGATAATGAAACGTTGTGTGAGAATATTCTAAAAAGCGGCTATGCGTGATAGGGGTTGGGTTTGGAACACCACCACTATTTTGTGTAAGTTCTTGTTCAACAAATGACGTGTCATTTAATATTTATTCAAAATTGGACACACTCTATATCTCATTTATTTTTAACACCATTTGGCATTGACAAACACATCAAACAAATTGAAAAACGTTGGCGCCTCAAGTAAGAAAGAAACTTTGATAATGTTGTTACTATTAAGACAACTCTCACACCGGATAAGACATGCGTAAGTTTGAGTAGGAACAAAATACATGGAAATGTCATAATTTGCAAGAAGCGCTCTATAGATGCAGAGCTCGGTTTGTCCTTACCCATGTTTTGGTACAATGATGAAGCAAGAATAGTACCGGAGGCTCAAAATGACTAATAATGCTTAAAATTAATTTTTGACATTAGTGTTAAAACTAATGGTAATTATGTTGAAGGTTATTTAGTACGCATTAGCAAAAGTTCCCACGCGGTGTTGCGGATGTTTAAAATGCTTTGGAAATATATACATACATAAAAGATTTGTAGTGTTAAACTGCGCATTATTATCAAGATATTCATAGTCACAAATTAATTAAGAATTTTTCCTTATAAAAATTTGATAAAACAACTAGATCCAAAATTGGCTGTATAAAAAACACACTACAAATTTATTAAGTCTCCTCGATCATATCTAAGAAACTAAAAGCTGACCTCTAGACAATTACATAGGCTATTAAGAAGATCCACTGTCATATAGCCTAAATTTACAATAGACCAACCTTTGAGGTCAAATTTATAAACCATATGATATGTCACTAATGGATAATAAATACATTAATCAAAACTTAAGTAATAATCTATTATCAACAACTTCTCGATCCGCAGTAAGCGTATGATGTGTCCTTCATGGCTGCTTGTTCAAGGAGGCCCACCTCTCGATCCACGGTAAGCAGGACCCCGCGGTCATCCCCTCACTAGACCCCTCCTACTCCACACTAGTGAACATAATGGCTTTGCAACTGATGCGTAAAATAAGTTAACACACAAATTAAACCCTCTTTTTATCAATTGTAGTAAAGTATGTAAGTAGGGATCGTTCTAGGCCAGGGATTAGGAGGGATTGCTAAATCACTTGGAAACTGACTTGAAAACGTAAAAACAAAGTTTAAAACACTAACTAGACTCAAAGAATGCAAAACTATACTTTAAAACACTAAAACAAACCAAAAGACTGAAAACAACCCCTAAACACTCAAAACTACCTTAAAAACACAATTTGGGCAATTTTGGGACTCTCACACAAACTTGGACAAATTTTGGTTTTCTAATGAACTAAAACACTTAAAAACATAATCTAAGACAAGTTCTAATTAATATGACTCAAAGAAATAAGATGGGGTTGATTTTCGACGAAAATAATTAAATTAAGACAAGAACAAAGTAAACAAATTCTTAGACAAATTTAAGTGAATCAAAATAGATTGTAAAATGAATTTGAATGAAACTTATGGATGGAAGGCTAGCTAGGAGGTTCTTCTCCACACATGTCACACTTGCATACAAAACGATTTCCAGTTGCTTTTTCGATAAACTATGAATACTCAACGCCCCAAATTAACCGTGAATTGCACTAATTAACCCTCAGTTTTTCCACAAGTTATTAGGTTGGACGATCGCATACGACAACCCAAAACATTCCCTACAAGTTCCCTACATGAATTGCATAATAGAGATACAAGCAAGAATCATTAAGTTCTATGAAAAACATAAGCATTGACGAGGCACTCGTTACTATGATTTGCATGAAACTTATGCCAAGAATTTACTTAACGTGATTGTGACTAGCAACCTTCACTACTTGTGAATATAAGTTCATAACGATTAGGTGAAACTCCCTTATATTCTAGCATCAAATTCATGCATGAAAATTAAGCGTGCACTCTCAACCAACATACACAAATCAGTTTTTATACGAACGGATAAGTAAATTGAATTCACAACTTATGAATCACAACTGGATGTAATCAAATCATATTGCAAGCATGAACATAGTTTCGAATCACCCCCTAACTAAGAGGGGTTTAGTTCCTCATACTTACAAAGCAAAGATGCATAAATTTAGACATTAAAAAAAAAGATAGAAAACACCTAGAAACGCTCCAACACTCCCGAGGCTTGGGCATAGGCATGGCACAAGATGTTCCTTCTCTTTCCTTCCTTGCAAGCAGCGGCACTAGAGGTTTTGGACGGTTTTGGGGTGGTTTTTATGGTGTAGAATGGATGGGGAATGGTATGGAAAGGTTTAGGGTAAGTGTGGAGGAGTGTTTGAGGGTTGGAGGGTGGTGGAGAACTAGGCAAAGAGGGTGGAAGAAGGTGGAGTGGCTGTTATGTTTTCTAGGCACTAGAATGGTGTTTTTGGGGTGTTTTGCTTCCTAGGGTGTGTATGGACGAATTGTCTGTGATAAATGATGAATATGGGGGATTGTCCTTTGGCCAAGGGGTGTAAACATGTATTTATAGGCCCCAAAAACCTTAGAAAATCAGGTTAGGTTAAGGATGAAATGCATGGCAATTTGTGTGTGTGGTGTGCAATGGTCCAAGGGTGAAAATGAAGTAATGATGCAAAGTGTGAAGGGTAAAATGGAGTGGTGTTGTAGCTAGGGAGCATGAATGATTGTGTACATTGCATAGAGATGGAAAGGGAGGTGAAATGTGTCAACAAATGGGTCAAAGGTGCAACAACATGTGTTGCACATGGCATTGGATTCCAAATGTGAATGATGGAGCATCAATTGGTGCATGTAATGGATGTAAATGTTGTCTAAAATCTAATGAGTGAAGGGAACAAGAGGTATCAAGCAATTGAGTGTAATAATTAAATGAATTGAAGCATGAAATCAGAAATTATGTAGGGGACAAGAGTGATCAAGCATGGCATGGGAATCCAAAGGGAATTCTATGTGGTTTGCATGGCAAGGAATGCAAGTTGGGGTGACAGATTTTTGGGCTGTTTTCTTCATCTTTTGGACCATAATTCTTCATATTCTTGGCTTCTTTAGTTTTCAAATTCGTCCATCCACTTTGGCCCATGCATTTGCTATCCATTCCAAGCCCCATTTTGCTCCAAAATGCTCCAAAATGCATCTTCTTGCCTACTTTGTCCATAAAATCTGAAAACACACGAAAATGACTTTAAACATTAAAATAACTAAGGAAACACGACATAAATGCACAAGAACAAGCCAACTAAGTCGCATAAATATGCTCCTATCAGCAACGGAGGTTCTCAAATATTATCATTGAATCTGATTCCTTGAAGGTTATCTCATGCCTAAGATTGATGATAGTGGCTGGGAGGTGCTCCCCATCATTTTCCACATTTATGCCTTGAGGAACTCCTTTCACGCTTGCGATTGGTCTTGGGTTCCGAGATCAGCTAATTTTGCGACGGACCACATGTGGTGTCTCATCAGGATGCAAAGATGTGCAATAACATCTAGGTTGAAAGACCCCCATCGTCACTTGTTGGTATCTTAAACAAAGACGGCTTTCCTTGTTCCCCGAATTAGTATTTTGTTGTAGTGGGTTTGGGCGCGTCATTTGTATTCCCTCTCTCACTTTGTATTGTTTTCTTTGCTTGTTTGCTCTTGCTGGTTTTTCGCCGCTCATGGCTTGGCCCTAGTTTAATTTATTAATTAATTTCAAAAAATAAAATAAAATAAAATTTATTATCAACAATCATGTCATATGATTTACATAATTGATCTAAAATATTGATGTCCGTAGTATTGCCCATACAATTCTAAGGCTAGCTTTTCAATAAACAATGAGAGTGGGTAACAAATCTCATCCATCATCCAATCTTGTATTTACATTTATTGAAACAGTTTTCCCATTACTTGTTGAATCACATTAGGAAAAGAAAAACAATACATGTGGATGTGAGGATGATCTATAAATTGGATTCAAATGCAAAACATGTCAACCCAAAAGAATATAGTCTGTCTGTCGGCTTCTTCAACAAACCAAATCAAAACATTATTTCAATCCTATCCCATTACATTTAAAAATGACAAAAAACTATGTATCTCCCAAAAAGAAATTTCAAAAAAGAAAAACAAAAAAGAAAAAAGAAAAAAAAAAACCTCATGTGGAGTTGGATCTGAAGAGCAGAGAATTCAATCAGGGCCGTCCTCATTTTCACCACCTCCACTTACGTGGCGTTTCCTACAGTCGCAGTAAAAAACCGTGGTAACAACGTACCCCCAAAGCACCACTAACCCGTACAAAATTACCCAACCCAATTTATCCTCAATGCCCACCACCACCCTCGTCAGCGTCGCCGTCGATGATCCCTCCATCAAATCCTCACCATCCATCACTTCCTCCAGCTTCCTCGCAACCGCCCACGTAAACAACACGAACATGCCCGACATCACCCACCCGCATAGCTTCTTACCCGCCATCAACTCCCACCCGACCCGAATTGCATCCCACCCGTACCTCTCTTCCAAAATCGACGCCACTAGCCCCAGGCCCATCATCCCCATCAGGTATATTTCCAGACCCGACCCGAGAACCATGATGACCAATCTGGACCAGGACGAATTGAATACAGTTGACAAAGTGCGGAGCACTAGTGCGGACGCTATCGACAGCGCGTAGATACAGATGGACGTGACTAACGGCCTTCTCCAAGTGATCTTGACGGCGTTAAGGGATGAGCGGAGAGTGGGGCGTTTTCCATGGATTGATGTCGAGGCGGCTGTCACGGCGGCGATGGAAGCGAGTAGTGAGAGGGCGTAGGAGGGGAAGAAGAAGACGACCTTGATGCGGAGGAGCGAGATGGCGTCGTCGCGGGACTCCTTCCAGACCTGGCGGGCCTCGAATCGCGTGGGGGCGAGGCGTGCGAGGGATTCAAGGTGGTAGATGTGGGATTTGAGGGGGTGCGAGGAGAGGGAGAGGGAGAAGAGGAGAAGGGAAAGCGGGAGGGTCGTGAGGGCAAAAATGGAAACGAAAGTCAGTTTGTTTTTTTGGAAAATCTTGAGGGAATCGAGGAGAACCTTGACAATCGTTGATCGGTGATCGTGGGAGAAGACGCCGTCTGTTTCCGACATTTTCTGTCGACGGATGACTCCACCTTCACTGCCCTTTGAAGTTTATGAGGAGTTTAAGGAAAGCTATCGACTGCCGTCTGGAATTACAGAATTTACGGTAATACCCATTTCGGCCTGATTGTCCGGGGTTTTTTATTTAGGAAACTAATGAAAAATACTTTAATACTTTGAATTTTAACAAAAAAATCATATACTAACTTTGACATACTCCGATCTAGATCGAGGCATGTTGGCCGTCACGTAAAGGTTATGTAGCCATGTGCACAGTGCAAAAACAATATTAATATAAGGAGTGCGAATAAACAAAGACCAATCCAACTAGAGCACTAGATAACAATAAGTGCAAGACGAAATTAAGTGTGTGAAGGGAAAAGTATGAGTTTTCACATATAGGGATTTCAAAATTACTAACATGCATATACAAATCAAATTTAATATACGAAAGCAGCGGAAGCATTTATAACAAATTATCAAAGCTATAGTCATGCAAATCCCCTTCAAGGTTCATAGGTTTATATATAAAGCATCAAAACAATTTTAGAGAAGAACAAAGTGAAGGTTTAGTCTAATACCTCTTGATCTAGACTTGAGACCAAGGATGGACCACCTCCAAGCCCTTTGTTCCTTGAACTCCTTGAGCCTAGCTTCCCTCCTTGCCTCCTCCACTTTGTTAGAATGAGTGCTTCTAGGTTCTCTTCAAGTTTCCAAAGTAGGAAACCTCTAAAGATCCTCACCCACTAGTGTAGTGAGAAGGATGAAGGAATAACCAAAAGGGTGAAAGATGTGTTAGTAAAAACACCCCTAAGGTGGCCGGCCTTTGTAGTGTTAGAGAGCTATTTTTCTTTTGCCTCTTTGTTGTTTTAACACTTCAAAAACCTTAATGAACAATATCTCTATAAAGTTCCTTATATAGACAAAAAGAAACCTAGTCAACCACTTGACTAAATATCTCTCCCTTTCCACTTAAAGTGGCCGGCCTCTTGTGTTGGATTTGGGCTTTGGGCTTTTATATATTTCAAGTCATCCAATGCTTGAATAAAAGCCCAATGGGTTTAGGCCCAATGGGCCCAATTAAACCCGAACATTTCTTTAAGCCCAAAACGATCTTTATCGCTTTTATGATTTCTTTAGACTTTCTAAATTAATCACAACACTTAATTAATCCAATTAATTATTTCCATCATCCATTAGTTACTCACTACAATAGTGTATTGGTGAACAATCTTTTAGGTTCTAATTAGCAAGGCAGTGAGGTGATTGGCACCAATCCAATTGATTATATTTAATCCAATCACTTAGTGAATTAAAACATACTTTTAATTCACCTTCTTCTTTGACGACTACATTTAATCATTTAGAAGAACTCACAAGCCATGAGTGACATATAACTATATATCATGGCTACCCAAGCTAATGTAGAAGTTTGTTCGGAAAACCTATTCAGTTGGAATTACAATGTAATTCGATCCTTCTCTAAAACAATACTCTCAATCACATTACTAGGGTATGAAAATATTATGTCAAACCCCTAATGTGATTATTCCTTCTTATATGATTCTTTTGAGTCGTATAGGAACGCTTTCCTTTATTACGCTCGATACTTCGGCCGAAGATTCCCGAATCATATCTTAGAGTATTCTTCCTCTCTTATCGAGGATTAGAGATTCCTTGTTGCGCATACACTTGCCTTCATGACTAAGTGGCTTAACCCCAATTATGCCGTGGACACCCGCGAATGGGGAGACTTTGACATAATCAAAGATTAAGTACTTAACCACAAGACAACGACGATGCCTCAGGTCAAAGGACTACTTACATTATTCCAACCATTAGAGTTACTTGCTTGACATGTGAGTAGACCTCCATGCAAGTACTCTCGTTCGATTGTGTTCAGTGAACTCATTCCCTTAATGAGCACCTACATACTTGTCTTAGTGTCACAACACGAATGGGATGAGACTTTCCATCCTTCCATTTGAAGCAGACACAGTATGTACCGGTCTAAGCATTGTCAGTATCCCTTCGACAATCCAATGACCAGGAACCTTTTTGGACATTTGGTTATGTGAAGAAGGTCTCTGTAGTCTAACATCATTAGATTACTTCTTCAATCGATCCATTGTCCATGGATACACTATTTAGGACATATATCGTTTATTGAGATAGTCCTAATTAGTATCTTTGCCATTTTGATGTATAAGATTCATCTATACATCGATTTATTTGTCCTGAAAGGTTTCTTCCAAAGATTGACTTTCAGGGCATATTTCCAACAATCTCCCACTTGCACTAAAGTCAATCACTAGTGTATCTTATACATCTTGTTGAGAGAGCTTTATGCTCGTAGGTTAACTTGGTTATGTATTAATCCCTTTTATTATTTAAAAGGGATTTTCTTATCAAATGTTTCCAAAACATTTGATGATGTCTCTTTATTGTGTTCGAATACTTTGATGAGACCTTGATTCCATGGCTTGAGCTATCGCCCCATTACGTCGTAGTATCCTACTAACGACCTTATGGTTTGGATTCAATCATTGGTTCTATAAGAACCCCTTCATTCAAAACACCTTTTTGAAGCAGTTTCTAAAACAATATATCGTCATATATTTCGTTTGTATACTTTATACATGATCAGATCATATTTATATATATTTTTACTTCGAATTCACTCGTCTTTTCTTAGTTAGTTCCTTATATTTTTGAGCTATTTACGTTATTTTTGTGTTTATAGGATTTGTTATGCAAAGAAAATAAAAATAGAACAAGTGAAATTTTATGTAATAAATTCGTCAAAACTGTCTGTGTAGATCAGATTTTAAATTAAATTAAAAAAAATAATAATGATAAGTCATGATGATGTTTGAAACATCATCATGATTCATGTTGTGAAGAGAGAGAAGCACGGTCCACACGGGCAGAGGACGAGAAAAAGCAGAAAATAAAGATGTAGATGCGGGGAGAGAGGCGCAGGAAATGGGGGAATAAGAGGGCAGGTCAGAGAGCAGAGGGGGGAGACTGACAGAGGTCAGAAGCAGAAAATAAAGAAGAGACAGACCAGCATAAACCGAGAGAGAGAGAGAGGGGTGAGAGAGACTGACGGGATCAGAAAACAGAGAGCAGCACGGGAGGACTGACTGGAGGGATAAACAAATATAGAGGTCAGAGGCAGGGGTTCAAAGGCTGGGCAGACAGAGCACTGAAGCACTCTTCTCTCTCGGTTAAATCTTTCCAAACTTATATTTTATTTCTGTTTTAATAATGTGTAACTAAATTTATTTTGGCTAGAGGTTAATTCAAAGCCATGAATATATTTGTAATATGAATTGATTACCTTCAGTTGTGATTTCTGAGTTGTGATTTAATTTGCTTAACTGCTTGATTGATAGCTTATTTTTGTATGTCGATTAAGAATGCATACTTAATTTACATGCATGAATTTGACGCTAGAATATAAGGGAGTTTCACCTAATCGTTATGAACTTATATTCACAAGTAGTGAAGGTTGCTAGTCACAATCACGTTAAGTAAATTCTTGGCATAAGTTTCATGCAAATCATAGTAACGAGTGCCTCGTCAATGCTTATGTTTTTCATAGAACTTAATGATTCTTGCTTGTATCTCTATTATGCAATTCATGTAGGGAACTTGTAGGGAATGTTTTGGGTTGTCGTATGCAATCATCTAACCCAATAACTTGTGGAAAAACTGAGGGTTAATTAGTGCAATTCACGGTTAATTTGGGGCGTTGAGATTTACAATTTATTGAAAGAACAACTGAAAATCAATTTAGGTTGCATATGTGTCATGTGTGGAGAAGAACCCTCTAGCTAGTCCGTCACCTATCCTTTCACCTTAATTTCATGCTTTTGTCAATTCTGTAATTTATTTAAGTTTAATTTACTTCTTGTCAAAACCAAACCCCCCCCATTATTAAATTATATTATTTAGTTAGTTTTCATTGTTGTTAGTCTTTTAATTCAATTTCCGTCCATTTCAGTTCCTAGTGTCTAATTTGATTGTTTTCATTATTTTGAGTCATTCTAAGTGTGTTTCGAGTTATTAGAGTTTTTAGCCTAGTTTTGTGTCCTTGAGTCTTGTTTAATAATTCTAAATTAATTTAGAATAGATTAGCAATCCCTCCTAATCCCCGGCCTAGAACGATACCCTACTTACATACTTTACTACAATTGATAAAAAGAGGGTTTAATTTGTGTGCTTATATATTTCGCATCAATACAAACTTTGCTCCAACCTTGAGACCATTGTAGTACAATACTAACAATTCATTCATATGATTAGTACTTCATCCATTATGAAGTTCCATTTGTTAAAATGGCTTATTTTTCATTCTGGTTAATAACCTAAGTGAATGCATGCTTCCAGAGTCCCACTCTGATATTTCTTTCTTAAAGGCAATAATACTCTATCAGTTGCTTTGGTTCTAATCCTGGGATATAGTAATATCTTAAAGTGACAACCATGTGGTTCTTCACCTTTGGATATCTACTTCACAAGTCTATACATGTGTCCCTTTTGTGATTTTGTGACATATTCATTATTAGGGTTATGAAAGTGATTTTCTATCACATAGGAAAAAGCTTTCTTAAATCTACAACATTTGAGATTTAATTCCCATACAACATCATTGAGATAGCCTTGCTATATCAATAAGTCCAATTTCAAGTCTATACTTCAAAATTGACCATGTCATGTTTTGTCATTTTTCGAGTAACATTTATGTTTTATCAAGTCTATCAAATAGACTTTATTCACATCATGTTGCTCAAATTATAACATCACTCCCACTGGCCTTGTTGTAACTTAGGATTCATTCAAAAATAACAATTATATTTTCTTGATTTGAATGCATATTGCTCCCACTAACTTAAATGAATCACACACAAAAGAATTCCTTCTCAAGTAATTCCATTTGAAATGTGTGACTTGTTCCATTAAGTCTATTCATTTAAATTTTATGGTGTCATACACCATACTTC